ATATATTGCAAAATAATTACCACCATAGCTTTAGCCTGCACATGTATGACATTAATCATCACCATTTCTTTCTCTTTTTAAATTGAAGTATAGTTGATTTATAATATTGTGTTAGTTTCAGGGGTACAGCAAAGTGATTCAGTTATATATATATTTTTTCAGATTATTTTCCATTAGAGGTGATTAGAAGATACTGAATATTGTTCCCTGTGTTATACAGTAAATCCTTGTTGCTTATCTATTTTATGTATAGTATAATTGTTTGTATCTGTTAATTCCGTACTCCTAATTTATTCCTCCCCCATTTATCTCTCCCCTCCCCTCTTTTCCCCTTTGATAACCATAAGTTTGTTTTCTATGTCTGTGTGTCTATTTCTGTTTTGTATGTAGATTCATTTGTATTGTTTGTTAGGTTCCACATATATGTGATATTACATAATAATTGTCTTTCTCTGTCTGACTTTCTCTAGGCCTATTCTCTAGGACCACCCATGTTGCTGTTGCTGTGCCATATATATATATATATATATATATATGGCACATCTTCTTAAACCAATCATCTGTTGATGGGCACTTGGGTTGTTTCCATGTCTTGGCTATTGTAAATGGTGCTGCTATGAACATTGGGGTGCATGTATCTTTTTGAATTAAGAGTTTTTGTCTTTTCCAGATATATGCCCAGGAGTAGGATTGCTGGATCATATGGTAACTCTTATTTTAGCCTTTTTAAGGAACCTCCATACTGTTTTCCATAGTGGTGGCACCAATTTACATTCCCACCACAGTGTAGGAGGGTTCCCTTTTCTCCACACCCTCCCTAGCATTTTATTCTTTGTAGACTTTTTGATGATAGAGAAATGGTTTATTCTTAAGCCTAGAACATTTTGCTGTGCCAGAAAGTGAGAATGCTCTCAAAGAATGATGTAGACATATCAGAAACACAGGAGCCAGCTTGAAGGGGCTCCCAGTGACCCAATCTTGGACAATTTGAGCACTAAAATAAATAATGATAGCAAAATACTACAACCCACTTGGATCAAATGAGTCTATGAATCTTGCAGACACAGCAAACAAACACTTTCCCTATAGTAGAAAGCCAACTAATAAATGTATAAGGAATGATGGAACTAGAAAATTACCATTTGGCAACTATCATTATAATACCTGAATCATGTAAAAATCAGTAGATGCTATAATGAATGAATCGGTGTAATTTTACAGAGCGATATAAAATTTACAAGTATTAATGTACCCTCCACAAGACATTTATTAATTATAAAGGGAAAAGTAGTAATTTTACAGTGGAGAAACCTAACAGACACCACCTTAACCAAGTGATCAATGTTAACATCACCAGTGGACATCCCTGGCGGTCCAGTTGTTAAGACTCCGAGCTTCCAATGCAGGGGATATGGGTTTGACCCCTGGTTGGGGAACTGAGATCCCGCATGCCAGCAGCTAAAAAATAAAAAATACATAAATAAACATCACCAGTAACTGGAGAAATTGACATTATGTGCTTCCTGACATGATGCACTGAAAGGAACTCAGCATCACATTTGTATTATTCCTGCCAAAAATGTTTAACCTGAATCTGATCAGGAGGAAACAAAGGCACCTCAAATTGAAGGATGAAATAACTGACCAGTAATCTTCAAGACATCAATGTCATGAAAGAAATAAAGAGAGGAACGGTTCTAGATTGAAGGAGATCAAACAGAGAAGGTAACTGAATGCAGTACATAAATACATTATTTGGGATTTTCTTTTCTTCTATTGTTGGGACATTTGGTGAAATCTGAGTAGGTTATGTCAATTTGATAATGGTATTATATCAATATTAATACCTTGATTTTGATAATTGTATAATAGTTATATAAATGAATGTCCTTATTGTTAGGAAAACACAAAGTGAAATATTTTGGGATGTAGGGTCATGGTGTCTATAACTTACTCTCCAACAGTATAGGAGAGAGACAGAAGAAAAAAGAATAAAGACAATGTGATAAAGTGTTATCATTTAAGGAATCTGGTGAGAGGCCTGTGGGAATTATTTACAGTTTTCTGTAAGTCTGAAATTAAAAGTTGAAAAGGGTGGGGGGGAACCTTGAAAGTAAAATCAAAAAAAAAAAAGGAGCTTATTAGTGGGAATGTAAAATGGTGTAGTGGCTCTGAAAACCAGTGTGGTGATTCTTCAAAATATTGAAAATACAATTACCATATGATCCAGCAATGCCATTCCTGGGTATATATCTAAAAGTACAGAAAGCAGGATCTCAAAGAGATATTTGCACAGCTGTGTTAACAGCAACATTATTCATAGTAACTAAGGTGGAACCAACCCAAGTGTCCATGGACGGATGGATGAAGAAAATGCGGTATATACATCATACAATGGAATATTATTCAGCCTTAAAAAGGGAGGAAATTCTGTCACATGCTACATCTGTCAGAACATGGTGAACCTTGAGAACATGCTAAGTGAAATAAGGATACAATACTGTATGATTTCACCTTTGTGAGGTATCTAAAGCCGTCAAATTTATATTAGCAGGAAGTAGACTGATGGTTGCCATGGGCATTGAGGAAGGGAAAGTGAGGAATTGTTTAACAGGTATAGAATTTTTTTGTTTGTTTGTTTTATAAATTTATTTATTTATTTTTCGCTGTGTTGGGTCTTCGTTGCTGTGCGCGGGCTTCTTCTAGTTGCGGTGAGCGGGGGCTACTCTTCATTGTGGTGCGCAGGCTTCTCATTGTCGTGGCTTCTCTTGTTACAGAGCACGGGCTCTAGGCGTGCAGGCTTCAGTAGTTGTGGCACATGGGCTCAGTAGTTGTGGCTCGCGGGCTCTAGAACTCAGGCTCAGTAGTTGTGGCGCACGGGCTCAGTTGCTCTGCGGCATGTGGGATCTTTCCGGACCAGGGCTCAAACCTGTGTCCCCTGCATTGGCAGGCAGATTCTTAACCACTGCGCCACCAGGAAAGTCCTAGAATTTGTTTTGTAATATGAAAAAGTTCTGGATATGTGTTGAACAACAATGTAATTGTACTTAACACTACTGAACTGTGCACTTAAAAATGGTAAAGGCCATACTTTTGATGTATTTTTTACCACAATTAAAAAAAATCTCTAAATTAAAAAAATAGAAGTTAACATAGTGGATGATTTACAGATGAAATTATATAATATATGGGGAAGAATAAAGGTTGCAGATGAAACAAGACTGACTCTATGTTGGTAACACTGAGGTTCAGGGGTTATTATGTGGAGTTGTATTATACCAATCTTTCTACTCTTCTGCATGCTTGAAATTTTCCATTAAAAATGTTTTTAAAATTTCTCCACTTCAGACTTCATAAGCTGAAATTTAGATTCTGTGCGACTGTCCCATATCTTTACTCAACTTTATTTATTCATGTCTTTTGACCATTACTGAGCTTCACAATTAAATGGAGAATTAGAAGACAAGAACTGTGTTTAGAGTTATCCAAAGATATTTAGGGAGGTGTCAAGAAAGTGGGAATCTCCAGCACAAAGAAGTGCTGCATGGTTCAAAAGATAACTTTTTAACGATCATTTTTAATATTCATGATTAAGAATAAGAGTCATGTACAAGAGCAAGCATGGCTGCAGAATGATCTGGACCAGTAATTTGTATAAATTAAGCATGGAGCTAAATTCTGCTGATGGTTAAATTAGGAAGGAGCAGGAAGGAAGGAAGAAATAGCTGGGAAGAGTGCCTGTAGTGGCACCGAACTCTCCGGGAACCAAGTAAGAACATCCAGGGGAGAGCACGGCGGGCACAGAGCATGTTCACTAGTCCTTCTGTCTCTACGAAACCTGGAGTCCACACTTATGGCTGGTTTGTTAAACTAGGAAACTTCCAAGGTCTTTTCAGCACCTGAGCCTGCGGCTGGGGGAATGAGGGAGAGGAATGAGATGGATGATGGTGGAGTGCTGTGCTTGGACCAGGTTGTGCAGGGCCTGAAGCTTCTTTCTTTCTTTCCTACACTGAAAAATAATTATATTCTCATCATAACAGTGAAAACTACATCAAAGTATTACTGTGCAAAACTGAAATTGCCCTTCGGTCTAGCCTTCTGCTCCCCACCCCCAAGGGAACCCCCAGTTTGCAGCACATCTTTCCTTTCTCTTTTCCAGGTTATAGTTGACTTTCAGGTTTCAAATTAGAAAGAGAAAATCCCAAATCCAATGGTGGTTCTCCGGGCCCCCCAATACCCTGTGTTTAAATGTCAGAGCGCCTTTTATGCTGTGCTGTCTGGCCATTTCCCATCTGTAGGCCTCTTAGATTGTAATCTCCCCATCGCCAAGTCTCGGTTTTACTGTATTTTGGAGACTGTTTATTCAGGGTGACTGAACGGCAGACTGCCTGGATAAATTAGGTCTGCCTTTCCCAAGCTGGTTCATACTTAAGGGACTTTTAAGGGACCCAGCCTCCAAGTAGGGACCCAGTCAGGACACACAAACTCTGGCGGCCTGAGCTGAAGCCTCACCGAATGAAAGGAAGTGCTGAAGAAATGCACGGAAGCAACACGGCCTTGCGGGAAAGGCCCTGGACTTGCAGGAAAGATACAATAAAGCCGTGGAACTTACTGTCATTTCTCCAAGGCTCATGATAATGGGCTTCATAATACCCGCCTAGCTTAGGAGAAGAAACTTTTGCAGAATGAATCAGGAGCCAGGTTGCGCAGCGACCACCCCCTCGGTGCTCCCGAAGCCCGGGCTGCCAACCTGCGGTGGCCCTGTACACGCTATGGTCACTTTCTGCAGTCCGCTTCGCCTCTAGACCCTGCGGGAGCTGCGCCCTGTCCTGGTGTCCTGGAAATGCGTGCTGCTGGCCCGGAGCTGGGAGTGCGGCCCGGGCCTCTGGGCCCCTCGGGCTGCGCCGCCGTCCTGCTGCCGCCCTCCTGTGGCCGCTGTGAGGCGACCTCCGGCCGTCCTGCGGGCCTCCTCCCTCGGCCGGTGACATCACCGCATTCCCGTCCCGGCTCCTCCCGCCTGCAGCCGCAGTGACAGGCGAGCCGGGCCCGGTGGCGGAAAGAAAGTGCGGGGCCGCCGCGCCGAGCCTGTCCCCGCCGAGGCCGGCTTCCCCGGGCGGCTCGGGTGACAGTGTCGCGGCCGCCGGGCGCAGGGCGGGGCACGCGCCGGGCACAGCCGAGCGGCAGGCGGACGCTTCAGAGAGACGTGGGGAAAATGGCTGATGACTTTGGCTTCTTCTCGTCGACGGAGAGCGGGGCCCCCGAGGCGCCCGAGGAGGACCCGGCGGCTGCCTTCCTGGCCCAGCAGGAGAGTGAAATCGCGGGCATAGAGAATGACGAGGGCTTCGGGGCACCTGCTGGCAGCCAGGCGGCCCTCACGCAGCCGGGACCCGCGAATGGGGGTGAGTCAGCCTGGTGGCCTGGGGGTTGGGGTACCTGGGGCTCGCACCCGGGGTACCGGGTGGAGTGAACAGGGCCTGCTATGGCCAGCCAGGAGCAGGCCTGGGGCTAGTATGTACCTGACCGGGACCTGGAGGAGATGCGGCGGGGACGGGGGGATCTTTTGGAGATCCCCATCTGAGGCCTTGCCTGGGGCTGTGGATCTGGTGGCTCCCAGGACAGAAATTCGTCATGACATTTCATCCCCAAGCCAACTCCACTATTGCCTGGCTCTGGAATCCAACACAGCTCAGGCTTGAGCTTCCCAGTAGGCTGGCTGCCCCAGGCCGAGCCCTGCAGGTGTGGGCAGAACCCCAGATCTCCCTGCTCCTCAGAAGTAGCTCCCTCCTAACAGCTGGGAAAGCAGGGGACGCTGGGTGCTCCAAGAACTCACAGACCTTCCCTGGGGAACACCTGCCATCCTGCAGTCACTGGTCTAGGCACTTTTCTTACATTTAATCATTTCATATGCATTATTAAACCCATTTCAGAGATGGCAAAACCGAGGCTCAAAAGGTACACTACTGAAACAACTAGCAAGTGGCAGAGTGAGGACTCTAAATCATTTCTCTCTAACTCTAACCCTTTCCACCTGACCACACTGTCTTCCATATGCCAGGCTCTGAGTTTGACACCAGGGTGGGGGCAGGAGCACAGAGGGCTTCAGTCAGATGTGGTCCTGTCCTCCTGGGGTTTGTAGCTCAATGGTTTTCCAAAGGAGGTCCAGGACTCAGGATTTGGGGCCTGGTCCTTGCAGTACTGTGTTTATCAACAATGTTCCTGCTCTGGCTCTGCCTGAAAGGGCAATTTCTTAACGTATCTAGTAAAAGAGTAGATATCACTTTCATGGGTACCTCCAAAACAGCGCTTGCTTCTTGTTAATGTTGTCGTTTTGGTAGGAGTTTATGGGCCTGTTGGAATAAGTGGTACCTTACATATTTTAAAAAAATGTTTACAAGTAAGGATCCTTTTAGTCATGTTTGTATTCATTCAGCATTTACTGAGCACCTACTGTGTGCCAGGCCCAGTGGGGATACAGATATGAATAAGACAGTTCCTGTGGCTTGAGGAGCTTGAAGCATCTCTGTATCCTCTTGGTATGAGAAACGTAACAAGCCTTTTGTAACATATAAGAAACTGGAGGCCCAGAGAGCCTGAATATCTTGCCCAAAGTCACACAGCCATGAGTGACAGATCTGGGACTTGATCCCAGGCTTCTCAACTGTGGGCTCCATGCTCTTTCAAATGCTGTGGCAGTCACCCTGGGAGGTGATGAGATGTAGAGGTAGGGAGGGGGGTCTTTTGCTACCCAACCAAGCCAGCAGTGGAGGACTTCTGAAGAAGCAGCAGCTCCTAGCACTTCAGCGGGACCCTCACACATCCCAGGGAATTCCTAGGAAATGTGAGCCCATGTTCATGTACCAGTATTCATTTGTCCACATCTTCCCCTTGAGACCACCAACTTCCCCAGTCGGGTTGGCCTGGGAGAGGCCCTGCTGGGAGAGCCAGTGTCAGAACCACCTAAGAGAGAAGCAGGTAGAAGTCAGGCAGAGGGCCGCAGAGGTGGCTGGGGGTTGAGCAGGCTGTGACCTCTCCCAGGACAATGGGGCTCCAGGGGTTTACAGCCTGGATGGGAGGTTCCTTCTCCGGCAGGGGTGGTGCACAGATTGGCCCCAGACCTGAGGTGGCAGGGAGAGAAGCGGGGACGTGGCCCTCTGAGGGTCTCCCAGACTCACAACCAGTAAAGCTGCAAATGCTCAGCTGCTCTGCTGAGTGGGGCATGGGGATCCGGGAGGGGTTATGGGATGGCGGCTCAATAGGTGGCCAGATAGGATGGAATTGATCTGATCCTCCTAGGCCTAGACGGTGATGAGCAAGTAATCCCCCGAGACCAGTGATGAGTGCCAGAAGCCCAAATGAGGTGCGGAAAATGTGCCTTGGGCTGCTGGGAGCTGGGTGGAAGCTCCCGCAGCCAGCACCACTCATCACCACTGAGTCTCGTCTCTTAAATGATGCCCCTGTGCTGAGTGCACTGACGTTGGGCTCCCAGGGAAACTGTTTAGTGTAGGCCTGAGCCTGAGCCACTTTGAGTCTCTCCTCTGGGGCTGGAACTACTGCCAGCCTGAGCAATGGATACTTTGTTTCCATTCATCAGCCTTGGGTAGGGCCCAGGAGGTGTGTACATTTTCACACCCAGATTTCTAAGCACTCCACCTGGCTCTGACCCCGACTTGCCCAGTCATTTCCTGGCAAGCCCATTTCCCCTGATGGGCCTCAGTAACCTCCCAGGAATGTTCTGGACCCTTGTCTGCCCCCGTTCCAAAAGGGGTCAGGGATCTGAGAGAAGCAACACCCACAGGGTTATCCTTGGGACTCGTATCTGCCGTACTCCGGTTCTGCCGGCTTCGGACTGTGGACACGTGATTATCAACGTGCCGTGGAGTACTCATTGTGGGGACAGAGACTTTTAATTCTGTGTGTGGGTATGTGTGGATTCCCAAAGAGGTTAAGCCTCATTCCAGGGGAACACTCATGGGACTGAGAGACTGGGGCACAGAGACTTTCTGAAGGCCAGGGTGGGCACCTGTGGACAAGGAGCCTGAGGCTGGGACTGGTCGGGGAGGCAGGGCCGCAACTTCCCCTCCAGAAATGCCAGGTGCACAGACCAGCATCATCGTGAATGGACCCTGGTAACGTAAGGCCCTGGTAGAGGAGATGCCCCAGGAGAAGAAGCCACTTTGCAGAAGATGCTGCCACTAATTTAGGGGCCAGGCCACCCATGCAGGAGAAACCCCATCTGAATGAGTAGGGAAGGTGGCTGACAACGGTTGGTCAAAATCAATCAATGTTTGGCTGTGCAAAGTTGATTAGAATCTATATCAGCTGGGCATTATTTCCATGGGATTAAGTATCCTTCTCTTCAGTCCCCAAGCTGAAAACACTGTCACCATTACTCACAGCTCTACCTGGCTGGTAAAGTGTACTTGTCCATCTGCGTTGATCTCGTGCAGCCTCCTGTGGGTCTTGGCTAAGAGGCACTGCAGTTTCTGAGAGTCCTCAGGCCTTGTAGATAACAGTGGGCCCCCAAAGAGCAATTCAGCTTCCATTTAGCCAACACTGCTCACCCTTAGGAGCTGAATGGGGTACAGAGCCTTATAAGGGAGTGAATGACCCGTGGGAGGTCACAGTAATCGCATAAGAGTGTGGGGGGTTCTGTACGATATTCTGGGATACCCCAGAGTTGAGACCTTCCATCAGCACCCAGGGAAGTAGGGGAAGTAGTAGAGGGCTTCCCAGAGGGGATGACTTGTGAGCTGGGCCTTGGAAAACAACTGCATCCCAAAGAACATTCTTTAGTGAGGGAAGCAGGAAGAAAGGTGTGGGATGCGGCATAGTGTGTTTGGGGAAGGAGGAAACCAGAATAGGGTTTGTGGGAGGGACTGGTGGGAAGTGAGGCAGGAAAAATGGGCAGGGCCAGATTGTAAAGATCCTCACGAGCTATGGGCCAAAGTTCAATGTACTCATTCAACAAATATTTATTGGGCTCCTATTATGTGTCAGGCACTGTTCTAGGTGCTGGATCCCAGCAGTGGACAAAACAAAGTCTCTGCCCTCCCAGAGGGCATTCAAGTGGGGAAGACAGATAATAAGCACATACTAAAATAAACATATCAGGCTGTGGTAGGTGCTACAGAGAAAATAACTGCCCAGGGGAGGAGGTAGGGGTGCTGGGGGATGAATGTCAGGGGTGGTCAGGGAAGGCCTCTAATAAGGCAGTGTTTGAGCAGCAGCTGAAGGGCGTGAGGCAGCAGTCCACATAGAAATAGGCAGGAGAGCTTTCTAGGGAGAGGGGACAGCACCTGCCGAGGCCCCAAGGAAGGAGCAGGCCCTATCGGCCACCATGGTCACGGGAAGTGGATTTCCTTTTGGTTTGTGTTCATTATATTTTTAATTAGAGGAGTGACATAGGTAAGTGTATGCTTTTCAAAACGTCAACCTTGGCAGCTGGTTTGAAAGAGGTTTGGGAGAGGGTGAAGATGGAGGCAGGGAGGCCAGTGAGTGGACAAAAACCATTTATTCCTTCTTTCTTTAATGCACCGATTCATTTGCTTATTCAACAATTAGTTTCTGAGCGCGTCCTAAGTCACAGGTACCGTGCACGGCTCTGGGGAAGACAGCGGTGAGGATAATGGACACAGGCGTGCCCGTCCAGGTGCTTGCCACTAGCGGGACAGACAGGCCAAAGTAGTTGTACAGGTGGGCCAGGCTGGGGGCAGAGGGCGGAGGGCAACTTTGAGGATTCTTGTTGCAGCAGAAGCCACAGGAATTTGTGACTAACCAGATGTCAGGGAAAGGGACCGGGAGGAGTCACTGTTTAGGTGAGGGCAAAATCGACTCCTTCTGGGAGGGGCAGGAGGAGGAAAAGTAGGCCAGGTGCTGCCTGGTGGGGGCAGTGATTCCTGCTCTCCGAGGTGGAGCCATTGCTCAAGGCACCACAGGGACAGGCAGAGACCTGCAGGCCCCTCTTCCTGAGCCCTCGCAGACCCTGCCCTGAGCCTCCAGAGCCTCTGCCTGTTCACCAGGCACAAGCTCCACAGACAGTTGGGCCATTCCCAGCCGTGGCTGAGGGGAAATCAGTTTTGGGTAGGTGAGGACCTATTATTGGCTGGGTGACCTTGGGCAATCACGTAGCCTTTCTGAGCCTCAATTTGAGAATCTGTAAAATGGGTTGATAACAGCTTTGTCACAAGGCTATGGTGAAAATCAGAGGTCATATGGCTGTGAGAAGGCTTTGTGCACAGTCAAGGATTGAGCCCAGGTTATTTGCATATCCATTATGTGTGTGTGTAGGGCGGGGAGTCAATACGCACATGGACATATACAGAGGTTGCTTCGGGGGCTAATGTAAGACCCTGCTTGCTATAAGCTGAGCAATGAGTGATGCTGTCTTCTGTTCTCTTTCCAGCGGGTTCTGAGGACATGGGGACCACAGTCAATGGAGATGTGTATCAGGTAAGCAAGATTCTGTCGTAGCAGGGGAAGGGACCGACAGCCTGGGTCTCGGTAACTTTTGGCCCCCATCATGGGTAGGATTAGGGATTCAAGTTCTGTTCATTGGGATGGGAACATCAAGAAAGATTTTGATGTGGTTCTTTTGGTCATGTAGGAGAAGGGGATGAAGAATAAGGACCACAGGGATCAATGGGGTGTTGCCTCAGGTTGCCCGTGATGATGTCCAGCTTCCAGAGGGAGAGATTAAGTGGCCCGCAGTGGCATGGACTAAAGGAAACACAGGGCCCTGCACACGTGTGTGCCATTGGTGGGAGGCTGAAGCCAGTGGTCATCTGCACCATGTCTGAGCATTTTAACTGGGTGAGCCTTGGACCCAGAGATTCCACTTCTCAGAATTTTCCCAAAGGAAATAGCTGGACAAGGACACCCAGATTCTTTGCAGGATTATTTATAATAGCAGACAAACTGGAAACAACCTAAGTGCCTAGTATTGAGGGCCTGGGTAGGTAAATTGGAAAACCATTCTGTTGTTAAAAAGAGCAGTCAGAGCTTTCTGTATTGACATGAAAAGATGCCTATAATATAGTAAATGGAAAAGCAGCTTGCAGAATAATATGCACAGTATGGTCCTGTTTTATATTTTAGAAATGTTTTCATGAAAGATCTGAAAGGATGTGTACCAACTGTTAACAGTGGTTAGCCCCGAGCTTGCGGGAGAAGGGGGGATAAGGAAAGGGTTTTCACTTTCACTGGATTGTCTTAAAATTCTTTGTAGTGATCCTATAACACACATGCGCACACACTCACCCCCCCCCAAAAAAACAGCTAGTAAAGATATTTCTAGTTAAATACTGCTTCTCTCCACACTCACTTAACCCCCCTCCCTTCATACATACACAGTTCATTTTGAAAGTACTTAAAGAACTTGGACCACAAATAGCATCCCCAGGACCCCACAGATGCAACAGTCTTTACCCCCAACCTGCAGATACCTGGGTGGGGGCAAAACCTTCACTGGATAAACTTTAATTCCCACTGGACTGGCTCAAAGACCCTTGACTGCTGGGGCTGCAGCTGCAGGATCTCCTGAGCTCTGCTTCGTTGAGGAGCTGGCCTCCTAAATCCTCAGGGAGAACAAACAATACTTTCTTATGTAAGAGAGATGGGCTGGTACCTTACACAGGACAACTGGCCAAGTCCCATTTCTGGAAAATTACTCAACTACCAGCAAGCTAGAAAAGTCAGTCTCTAGGACTTTAAGGGCTTCGTGTCTCCCTGGGCCTGAGAGCACCAAATAAGCAGCATTGACGCTGGTACAGTTTGGCAGAGCATTGAGACTCAGGCTGCTCCTGTCCTGGGCACACTCAAAAGGACGTGGCCTGACCCAAAAGGTCTGTGTCCTAAAGTGGCCCTGGAGCTGGAGATACACTTGGGACCGGAGAAGTACCTAGAACACCATGAGCAGGATGATTTTCCCTTTCTATACATTAGGATCTTGAGGCCTTCTCCCTCCCTGCCCCAGGCCTCGCTTTGTATTTAATGGGTCTGAGAAACCCTGGGCCTCCTCCGCAATCTCGGTGGGAACTCTTATTCTCCCTGCTACCAAGAATAACCCCAGCTATGTTTATCTGTAACTCATTTCACATCTGTGCCACGTTAGCATCCTAACAGGCAGGGGAGGGGTCACAGATGAGGCGAGTCACTCGGAAGCTTAGTGGCCAAGTTCAGGTTCATCTAGATCTCCTGCCCCTGATCTGGTGCCCTTTGTACCATCCCCTCGTTGCTGGAGCAGGCAGGCCACAGCCCCTGGCTGGCGGGTGGGAAGCCCCTGCAGACTTTTCTTAGGATGGAGCATAGAGCAGGGTCTGGCTTGTGCACCCCAGGCTTTCAAGGGTCCTGGGCAGAACTTTCCTGCTACCTTTCTTAATCTTTTCTGGAAGGCTATGGGCCACTAGGGGGTCCAACTGTGAACCTGGTCCCCAATAAGGCCTAAGGATAAGCCTGCATCCCCGTTGAGCTACTTAGAGGAATCAACAGCTCAGCTCAGCTTAGCTTTAGCTGGTCAATCCCACAGATTGGTTATGCCTCATCCTCCTGGCTGTCCCTGGAGTCACAGTACATGCTCGACCAGCATGGCCCCCCGGAAGCCCTTGTGGTGGTATCCAGTGTCCAGCGGAGGGGTCCCTCGGGAGAGGAGTGCTGGGGAGCTGGGCTGAGAAAGCCTGGCCCTGACTGTAGCCTGTGGCCTTTTAGTCCACAGGCCATTCCTGCCTGACCTCTTCCCTTTCGAGCTTGGGAGGGACTCAGAGCATTCCTGCAGCCCCTGGTGAGCCCTCCTGGGCTGCCAGCCCCACTGGCGGCTGACCCGATTTCCTCACTGCGACAGTCAAGTGATTAAAGAGGAGCCCGGCTGTGGCCCTCCCGACCTCACTGCTCACTGGCAGGGGCAAGGCAGGAAAATAAGTCCAGAGCAGCTGGAGAAGGGGAGTCAGCAAATAGCTTCTCAGGGCCTTGTCTGCTGGCAGCACCACTGTGTTCTTCCTGGTTGTGGTGATGGTACAGCGCAAGCCGGTCTGCTGGGGGCATGCCACGGGCAATGGTGAGCCCTGCAGCTCTGCCACCCGTGCATGTGCATGTGCATGTCCGCTACAGGCTACAGGGGTCACAGGGCAGTTATCGCATTCAGGCCCCATTTTGCACCCCGAGTGGGATGTTGTCACTCCCATTTGACAGGTGAGGAAACCTAAGGAGCGCGGGGAAGGGACTTCTTAAAGGTCGCGCATCCAATGAGTCGCAGGAGGGAACTTAAAGCCCAGTCGCTCTGAGGCTGTGTCCCCGTGCCCTCCACATCGCTTTGCAGGCAGCCCCTCATTCCTTCATTTAGTCAACTCGCATTCTGAGTGCCATGCGCTGTGCTCAGGGCCTCAGATGTAGAGGCAAATCCCATGGATGTTTGTCCTCGAAGAGCTCAAAGGACAGAGACCTGAAAGTCATGCAGGATGGCAAGGGCTTGGGTGTGGGGCTGGTCTCAAGAGTTCTTACTATGCGTCAGGCACCACCCAAAAGCGTTATGTGGATTAACTCATTTCATCCTCCCAACACCCCTACGACGTAGGTTCTGTCATTATCCCCATTTTACAGATGAGGAGGAGGATGCACAGGGAGGTTTCATAGCTCTGGTTGCACAGCAGGGAAGAGCTGGGACCTGAACCAGGCTCAGGCGCCAGACGCTGCACTGAAGTCAGAGAGTGCGACAGGGACGGATGTTGGAAGTGGGTTCCAGGCTGCCCAGGGGCATGTGGGTGGTCCTGGCTAGGGGGACAGCACGTGCAAAGGCACAGAGGATAAGACACGCATTCTGGGGCTTGCCTGGAGCCTGGCACCTGCTGCAGAGAAGGGTGTGCTGGGGGAACCTGAAGAGACCACGGGTGCAGGGCTGCTGTGCCCGCAGGCGGAAGGGATGGGGGTTGGGGGGGCGGGCACAGCTCCCAGCCAGAGCCTGTTACTAGGCCGTGCTGGTGGAGGACGCAGGCCCAGCTTGGCCAGGCTTTGTGCCCAGGGCCTAGGCACAGCGTGCTTGGACCACACTGAGCAGTGCCCCTGGATGTGCAGTGCAGCTGCCCGCCCCCCGCCCCCCGCCAGCCCCAGAGAAGCCCCAGGGTCTCTCAAGCTGCTCCTACACCCAGACTGCTCCTACGCGGGGCGCTGTGGCGGGCTGCGGCAGAGGAGTTTGGATGGAGTCAGACAACCTGCGCTTCATTTCTGGCTTTTCCCAGCCGGACAGCTTTGGACTAGTTACTGCCCTGAGCTGGATTTCTCATTTGTGAAATTGGGATTAGAAGCCCTGCACTGCTGCCTCCGCAGGTCTGTTGAGAAAAGTGCTCTGTAGCCCTGGAAGCTGCTTCTAAATCCCTGACCTAGCCACTGAGTGAGCCAAGGCGGGTGCATGTGTGGGTGTGAGAGAGACAGACGGGGAATGGGGCGTGGGGCAGTGGGAGGAGGGGGTGCAGTCTCTAATCTTGGGATGGTAGACTTATCAGGGAGACCAAAATCACGTGACACAGAAGTAACTTTGGTCCCTATTGGCTATGTATGGACACATGTGTGGCTATGTGTGACACCCAGGAATTCAGTTTGAATTCTGGCCCTGCCAGTTCCTGGCCAGGTGACCCTGGGACTTCGGAGCTAGACTTTTCCTACCTGTAAAACAAAGATAATGAAACCCACCATGTAGGGTTGTAAAGACCAAAGGGAACCGTTTAATTGCAAGTTCTCTGCCAGTTTTAAAACGCTGTAACCTGTGAGTCTTAATTTTGGGGCAGTCTTGATGGAGATGGTGGGTCCTGAAGGACACCATGGGATGACTTTTACCCAGAGGACCCCCTCCAGCCCACCTCTCCCACCCCATCTGCTCCACACCTGGTAGCATCTCTGTACTCAGATGTTTGCAAAGGCACCGGCCTCATGTAGTCCTTAAGCAGCCAGCTCTTGGTCTGAAATGCCCTTTCCCTATCTCTTCCCAGCCTACTCTGCTCCCAGGCTAGAAAGGTCATGCCCTCCCTTGTCCCCACTCTTTTCATGACCCGTGTTATGCATGTACCCCAGCTATGGTCCTTATTTGTGAGGGACTCCCTCTGCAAGCTCCCGGATGATGGGCTGTCTCGTTCATCCCTGACCCCAAGCCTGAACATCTGTTAATTCATTCAAGTAATGTTCTTGAAATCCTCCTACAGCCAGGCCCTCCATGTTCTACATACTATAAAGAGACAGGCAGTCTCTGTCCTCATGGAATTCCCTTACTGGGGGGCGGGGTAGGGTGGGGTGGGGAGGGCAGATAGTAAACATGTAAACAAACCAGGCTTTTAAGATAGCCTGAGTGCCAAGAAGAAATAAAATGTAGCACCTGGATAAACACGTAGAAAGTAAAAGTAACTGCATTTGTCTGCAGATGGGACAGTCTATAGGATTGGGCAGAGGTCCTGGTAGCCTAGCCTCAGGACAGGGCTGTTCCCAGAACTGGAAAGGTACACCTGTGATCAACTCGTGTTGTCTAGATTAGGGCCCTGGAAAGGCCCCTCGAGATGTCTTGAGAGACTCTCTCAGTTGAAGTGTAATGCTGGGCAGGAAAGAGGAATAAGGACAGCGCCCCAACTGCCCCACCCAAGGGTGGGCCTGATCCGGGGAGCCAGGCTGCACCTCTCCGCCCTGGGCCTGCCCTTCCTTCTCCCCAAAGACAGCTGGAGATGCAGCCCTGATGTTCCATCTGCGTGCTCCTTCGCCCTGCTGCCCACAGCCCCTTGGGCAGACGCTTACCCAGCCCTTCTTCTGAACCGGGCACATGCTGGCCCCGGGGGGGATCTTCATCCACATGGCCACTGCTTACTGAGCACCAGCTGTATGCCCACAGCAGGCACCACTGGACAGATGTTGTTGGGTGGGGAGAAGATACGCTGGTACTCGTGACAGTTTTAATGAGTGCTTGCAGTAGGAGCACAGGGAGCAATAAAAAGATGGGACAGGAGTTCAGAGGCTGTAAACAAGGTCCTGTCCTGCCCACCGGGAGCTCACGGTCCAGCGGGGAGACACCTGCAGTAGAAGGTGAGGGTGTGACAAGAAGCACAGAGAGGACAGGGTGTGAAATCTGTTTTGGGGCTGGGAAATATCCCAGAGCTGGTGACCTCTGAGCTGGAAACTTGTGGGGTGGAATAAGATTTCATCAGCCAGAGAAAGGAGGGAAGACAACTGAAGGCGAAAAGCACAAAGGAGACAAAAGCGGGCAGCATGGGCGTGTGGGATGTGTGCAGACAGGAATGCACGGGGCGGACAGAGCACCAGAGTGGGTGTGCCAGGAGATGGGGCTGGATCATAAAGTCTCCAGCTTTGCGAGACCAGAGGGGAGCCCCATCCTTGCTGGGCTGAGCTCTCAGCCTGCAATGCTTCAAGTCACCACCCTGGCAGGTGGCGTGGAGAACTGGGCAGAGCCCTGGCTTGGGAGCCAGAGGACTGGACTCTGGCCCTGCTTCTGCCACTGTGTTGTGCCATCTCTCCTGGCCTCAGTTTCCTCCCCTATAAAATGGGAATTAATAATAATAATAATTCTAGCTACCATTTACTGAGCCATCACTCCATGCCAGGCACTCTTGTAAATGTCTTATAAATATTGTTGCATCAAATCCTCACAACTAGCTCTTAGAGGTACTTTTATTACTATTCTCACTTCAGATGAGAAAACTGAGGCCAGGCAAGGTTGAGCAACTTGCCTGGGCTACACACATATATAGCAGGCAGTAGAGGTGGGATTTGAACCCAGATGGTCCAGCTGCAGAGTCTGAGTTTTTCATCACTGTACAGTCGTAGCCATGGCCACCCTGCCTATCTCAGGGCTGCTCGTTCACTCAGCAAATAGTTATTGAGTACCTGCTACATGCCAGGCACTGTGCTAGATGCTGGGGACACAGCAGTGAACAGGACAGGCAAGGTCCCTGTTGCCACAAGGGTGACATTCTGATGGAGGAGACAGACAATGGACAAGTAAGCATATTATAAAGTGAGGCCATTTGGGACTGTGTTATTTGGTAAATAAAACTAATAGGGCAGGGCTTTAATGATAGAAACACAGGGAACTCTCTGAGTGCCAAGAAGCGTTTGAAGTTCTTTACACTTTTTTAACTCATTTCATCCTCATATTAACCCTGTGGGGTGGATGCTATTTTGTAGCCCATTTTATGATGAGGAAAGTGAGGCACAGAGAGGTTGAGTAACTTGCCCACGGTCACACAAGGAGCAGAATTACTGGCAGAGGGCACAGCAAGTGCAAAGGCAGGGTACAGTCCCAGGAGACAGTGGGTATGAGGTGGTTTGAGATGTGAGGGGGTGTCCTAGTACTCAGGCGCCAGACACAGAGGGGCAGGTGGACAGGCTGGGTACACTGCCATGTGTTTGTGTCCTAGGAGGCTAACGGTCCAGCTGATGGCTATGCTGCAATTGCCCAGGTCGACAGGCTGACGCAGGAACCCGAGAGCATCCGCAAATGGAGAGAGGAGCAGCGGAAACGGCTGCAAGAGCTGGGTGAGGGCAGGGCTGAGTGTGCAAGCTGGGCTGGTCCCCCTGGCCCCGGGCTCCCCACTGGGTTGGCTCTCTGAGACACGGTCGGGTGGGGAAGCCTTAGGCTATATGGGGCCCTGCCCCACCTTAATGTGGGATTGGCTGAGGATGGACCCAGGGCTGCCTGCTGGGGCTGAGGGGAGAAGCAGCAGCCAGAAGCACAGCCAGCTGTGCCTCACATCCCTCCCGGAAAGCTGCTCTTCATTCACCTGTTGTGGGTTGCAGATGCTGCCTCCAAAGTGATGGAACAGGAGTGGCGGGAGAAGGCCAAGAAGGACCTGGAGGAATGGAACCAGCGCCAGAGTGAACAAGTTGAGAAGAACAAGATCAACAACCGGTGAGAGGAGCTGTGAGGGTGCGAGGGGACTGTAGGGTCATGAGGGAACTATGAGGACATGAGAGGACCTACAGAGATATGAGGAGCTATGGGGACATGAGAGGACCTATGGGGACATGAGAGGACCTACAGGGATAAGAGGAGCTATTGGGGACATAAAAGGACCTATGGGCACACGAGAGGACCTACGGGGCATGAGAGGACCTATGGGGACATGAGAGGACCTATGGGGCATGAGAGGACCTATGGGGACATGAGAGGACCTACAGGGATATGAGGAGCTATGGAGACATAAGAGGACCTATGGTGACATGAGAGGACTGATGGGGACATGAGAGGACCTATGGGGACATGATAGGACCTATGGGGACATGAGAGGACCTATGGGGACGTGAGAGGGCCTACAGGGATATGAGGAGCTATGGGGACATAAGAGGACCTATGGTGACATGAGAGGACTCATGGGGACATGAGAGGACCTATGGGGACAATGAGAGGAACTATGGTGAGGGGACTGTCTTGAGGATGGGTGATTTGGTGGCAAGAACACGGAGGAAGGAGAAGCCGAACCCACAATGATGTTTCCTCAGTGGCCTGTGGAACTCAGCGCGCTGAGCTCTGCATAGCTGGTATGCCGTTAAGCTCTGACCTCCTCACCACGACAGACAAAAGTGAGTCTGCCAGTAAGCAGACGAGGTCCTGGGACCCAGTGGGATGTAAGCCAGACTGTCCTGGAGCCCAGTGGCCAACAGCTCGACCTGGGCCCCCTGTGGCCATGGTTATCATGACAGAGAACACAGGCCTGGCAGGAAGGGAAGAACCAAGCTGTGTGCAGGATTTTATTGCTTATAGAAATGATAATGCTTCGACCCAGAAGTGGCTAAAGAATAAAGGGAAGTTAGTGGCCTATATAACTGGAAAGGCCAGGGGTAAGGGCTGCAGACCCAGTGGACTCAGGCACTGAAACAAAGTTCGTCAGTGCTCACTTTTACTGTCTCTCGGTCTGCTTTCCCCTACGTGGCCTTCACTCTTGGGCACACACCCCTGGGATGGGGGCAAAGGTGGCCACTAGCAGCTCCAGGCTTCTGCTCGATTTTCTTGGCAACTTCAGTGAAAATAAGCCTCTTGCTCCCAACAGCTCTAGCTGAAGTCCTCCACCTGACCTTCATTGGTCTGGTGTGGGTCACGTGCCCACCCCAGGCCCAGTGATTGTCTCGGGGGAGGGACTCTCCCATAGACCCAGCTTGGTCGATAGTCCCATTACTTGGGTTGTGCATGGGGTCCGGTCCCACCCAAACCACAGGGACTGAGTGGGGGCAGCTGATGCTTCAAAGGACAATCAGGATGCCCTTCCTGGAAGAAGGGGGACAGATGTTGGTCAGGAAAGATAGCAGAGGCCCACCGGAGAATACCTTGCAGAAATGGTCTCAGACTAGAGACTGCCAGCAGCCCCTACCTCTGAGGCTGTGCACTTCAAGGTACAAGACTTGCCAGAAAGGAAAAGGCTGGCTCTGGGAAGCCACCAGCTGGAAGCTGCTGCATGCCAGGCCCTGGGCCGGGCACTGCGGAGGCCGAGCTGAGAAGGACGCAGTCTGTGTCCTCAAAGAGCAGAGGAGGGAAACACACGGGTACAGCTGAACTCAGTAGTAGGGCCCTCTGCAGGAAAGCTGTGGAAGCAAGGGATGTGGGTGGCGGAGGGACCTCTGTGTCTAGGGACCTGGGCTTTGGAAGGTGGCTAGGAGTTCACCAGGAGAAAGAGGGCAGGGGGTGGGGGAGGGTATTCTAGACTAGGGAACAGCATGATACGAAAGAAAGGACGTTGTGCTTGGGCACCAGGGAGTGGCAGGAGACAGGGCCGGAATGAGGGCTCCCATGTGCAGGGCCTCAGAGGCGAGGGGCGGGCAGACACAGGCGGTGGGGAGCCACTGAAGGTTTGTAAACAGGGGGACTAATATGATAGGGCTGAGTTTTAGAAAAGGCCACCCACTCGGGTGGGTAGAGGATCCCTGCTCTCCTCTCAGGACTGTGGAGAGTTGCTGAGCCTTCCAGAACTATGCTTCCTAACACGTCTCCAACTGGAGGTACTAACGCTGTCTCTCTTTCTCTTTAACCCTCTGCCTGTCTGTCCATCTTGCCATCCCGTCTTCCCCCACCTAACCCCCTTCCCTCAAGGATCGCCGACAAAGCATTCTACCAGCAGCCAGATGCTGATATCATCGGCTACGTGTACGTGTCTCCTTTGCTCCTCTGCAAGGGCCTGTGTGTGGCTGGCAGTTTCTTGAGTCTCCCCCTTGTGGGGTATAAATGAGTATGGCTGGGCCTGGGGCAATGATCAGAGCAGGAGGTGAGCCCGAGGGGTGGGTACAGGCACCAACCCTCACCTCCATCCCTCCAGCAAATGTTTATTGAGCATCTTTGAGACAGCTTTGCTAAAATCCAGGCAAAGAAAAGAAAGGAATGTCCGGCCATCCCCAGGTGAGAGAGGCAAAGGGCAAAGCAGCCCAACTCCCTCCTTTTGAGATGCCTCTTGGAGGGGGGAGGTGGGGTGAGTCTTCTATTGAACAAACAAACATTGAGGGCTGGTGCTAGAGGTATAAAGAATGCACAGCCATTCCCCGCTCCTGCCCACAAGTGCACTGCTCCTCCTTAGAACTTCAGCCTGAATTTGGTCATGAGCCCCTGTCCAGACCACCAGTGGTTCCCTTTCACGTGTTTCTGCTTTGAGGTCTAGTTGGTCCTGTGCCTGATCCAGACCAGAGATGGCAGAGATTTCCTCTTATGCCGCCCTGCTGGCTGGTAGTGACAGCCTGGACAGTGTGCTGGGGATTGTGAAGCCGAAGAAAATAATGCAGTGATGAATGTGTGATGATTGCCACGTGTGTATGTGCCAAATATTTGCTGTTCCTCGCTCTGGATACGCCCTTGGCAGGCCTCTGACACTGTCTGGGCTAACGCTTCTCTCACAGATCATGGGACACACCAGAATAACAGCTTTCCACTCCTTCCGTCCACTCTCCCATCTGTCCAGTGCCAGTCTCTGGTCAGACAGGAGTAAGACACACATGGTCTGTCCCCCCAAGTTGCTCATGATCAAGAGTGTGTTGTGATAAGAGCCACATGCAAGGACACAGTGGGCTCAGGGAGAGCCCAGGCAGGCTTCAGAGGTCAGAGTCCACCGGCCCTTAAAGTGTGAGAAGGAGTGTGCTGGGTGGGGAGAGTGAGAAGGGAATGGCATCCTAGGTGGGAAAAGCTGCTGGGGCAAAGGCGATGAGATGGGAAATATCTAGCGGCCTGCAGCGCCTGGAGCGGTGGGAATGGGGAGAGAAGGTCAGTTTGGAGCCAGTTGCAAAAAGCCTGTCATGAGATGTTAAAAAGCTCAGACTTGATCCTGAAGGCAGCGGGGAGCCATGGGAGGTTTCAAGCAGGAGAGTGGGGATGGAAGAAGGGCATCGGCGCTGAGGAATACCACAGGGCGTTCAGTGCTCCTGTTGCACCCGAAGAAATGGTCCAAGGAGCACCCAAGGGAGTCCTGAAGAGAGGAATAGTCTAGACCAGCGCTTCTCAGTCTTCCATGTGCCTATGAATCACCAGGGCCTCTTGTCAAAATGGAGATTCTGATTCAGAAGGACTGAGGTGAGGCCATGATTCTGCATTTGCAACAAGCTCCATGGTGATGCCGGTGCTGCTGGACCATGAACCCCACTTTGAGCAACAAGGTTAGAGGCAAGCCTCTTGACCCAGAAGAGAGAGCTCCTAGGATCGCTCCCCTCAGCCCCACTGGTCAGCCAATGTCACACAGCACCTTACATTTTCTCAAGCCTACACACACCTGCTACGTTGTTTGATTCTCAGGCCAGTGAGACAGATCAGCAAGGTGGAGGCACTGATCCTCCCTTCCCAGGTTAGGAAATAAGCACACACCAGGGAAGCAAGATCACTAGCGAGGGGCCGGGTCACCTGATCTGGGGCCGGCTCATCCTGAGCCGTGGGGATCACGTGGAGAGCTCCCTGCCATCAGTCAGTGCCTGGCATGTGGCAGAACTGGTCCTGCTTGAGATGCAGGGGGCTTCTAAGGAGAAAGGGGCTTTAGGGACACTCGTTGGCGAAACAGGACAGAGACCCAGCCCTCTCCACCCCAGAATCCCTCATTGCTTTTCTCTTAATGACTCCCATGTTTAGGTTTTGTCCACTAAACTACATTTATTATACTTTGTTTCCCCATTGTTCTTTAATCAGTGGCTTCTGTAACTGTCAGCCAGAACTTCTGATGAAAAACCCACCAGTTTCCATCCTAATTTGATTCCAATCAAAGGCAAAGACTCCAGTGGAGCATTCCTCAGGCTGTGGCGCCAAAGAGATAATAGTCATTTGGGGCTAAAAAGAGTTCTGTAGTCAAGTATGCTTGGGATATGGCAGATTCTATATCCATCGTGTACTCACATTCGTGGTGCACATAAGCACATTAAAGGCTTTGCAAGTCTTGTTTTGAAGATCTTCTTTAACTGATTCTTCTATACATTTTTGACCACAGCTCTTTTCTAAAGAACACTTGTAGGGTCCACAGAACCCCGAGGCAATGCTGAACCAGAGACTTCAGCTAGGTGGTTAGTCAATGTCCTGCTTAGTTTTTGGAAATGTTGAAAATAGCTGAGATACTGCATTAGTTCCTCCAAGGGCCTTTAGGTGTCAGGAGCCCCAGTTTGGGAACTCTTGATAGAGGTAATGAACAGACAGTGCTGGGGCAGGGGTAGGAGGCTACTTGAGCTACAGTGGCAAGGGAAGACCTTTCTGAGGAGGTAAGGCCTGCACTCAGACCTGAATTACAAGAAGCAACAAGCCATGAACAGGTCTGGGGGAAGAGGTGACCGAAAGTACAAAGGCCCTGAGGTAGGACCAAACTAGGCTTCCTCTGATGGCAAGGCTGTTCCTGGGGGCCTGAGGTCAGAAGGCCCGGGGCTGGGGAGGAGACGTCTAGACAAAGGACCCCAGAGTAGGCTGGACAAAGCAGCCTTGCTCAGTGGGAGCAGCGCATCACTGATTAAGGGGAAAGGCAGACAGCTATGAAACCTCTGTCCTATCTCCACCTGCAGGGCATCTGAGGAGGCTTTTGTGAAGGAATCCAAGGAGGACACCCCAGGCACAGAGTGGGAGAAGGTGGCCCAGCTGTGTGACTTCAACCCCAAGAGCAGCAAGCAGTGCAAAGACGTGTCCCGCCTGCGCTCGGTGCTCATGTCCCTGAAGCAGACGCCGCTGTCCCGCTAGGAGCCTGCCACCAACATGGCCGCCATACAGGGGCCGGGCCGGGCAGAGGAGGAGCAGCTGCTTTGGCCAGGGGGGAAATGCCTCCAGCAGCTGCTACACAGCCTATTCCGTTCCTCGCCATCTCCCGGGGCCGGGAAGGGGAACCCTCACCCCTCTCAACTGTCATTCCCTCACGGCCCTACGGCCCAGCCCCTCACATCTCCTCTCAGTCCACAAAATTGTGACTGTCCCTCCTGATGTATTTTTTTTTCTTGGCTTAAAGGGTGTGTTGTTAACTCTTTTTACACTTATTTCATTCTCATTTCTCTGGAAGCCACAAACTGGTGTCAGGGCTGTTTGTGCTTAGAACTTTCCCAGCTTCATGGGCTTGAGAGAAGGTAGGGCTATTTCCCTGGTAACCCAGGAGCTCCCAGCTGGGAGAGGGCATCCCAATCTGTCTATGTCTGCTGCCTCCAGCCCCAGGAGGAAAGACAACCTCTCACAGAATGCTTTTGCAAGCTTGATCCTTTCTGATCCTTGAACAAACCCATGACATAGCGATTCTGTTGGTCTGTCATATAGCCACAGACACCCAGAGGGGAAGCAGCTTGGAGGGAAGAGGCAAGACCAGAGGTTCCCGGTGGGTGCTTCCTCTTTGCCTGAGTGAGGGGCTGGTGAAGGTAGCCTCTGCCACAACCCTTCCTTGGGATTGGTCAGGACCCTCTGCCTCTTTCAGCTGTGCTCTTCTGTGGATTTGGGAGAAACAATCAGTGACAACACCTTCCCCTTCAAGAGAGTTGCAAACAGGTTATGTTCAAGCCATTGTGATCTGAACAATGTTTAAAAATATTTAATTGCCAACTGTATTAGTTTCCTAGAGCTGCCATAACAAAATACCACAGCGTCTGGTTTAGAACAACAGAAATTTATTGTCTCACTGTTCTGGAAGTCATAAATCTGAAATCATGGTGTCAGCAGGGCCATGATCCCTCCAAAGGCACTAGGGAAGTATCTGTGTTCCTTGCCTTGTACAAGCATTACTACAATCCTGAGTTCATCTTCACATCGCCTGCTCATCTTCACATCGTCTGTTGCTGTGTCCAAATTTCCCCTTTGTATAAGGACACCAGTCATATTGGATTAGGGCCCACCCTACTGACCTCATTTTAACTTGATTACTTCTGAAAAGACCCTACTCCCAAATAAGGTCACATTCTGAGGTACTGGGGTTAGGACTTCAACTAATCTTTTCTTTTTTGGAGGGGGGGAGCCCACAACACCAACAGTTAAAAATAGTGGCCATCCTCTCTAGAAGTGCCGTAGTCCTCACCACTTCATATCTGTTCCTTGTGGAGGCCAAGGGTCACCACAAGTACTGCTTTACATTTATAATCTCTGTCTTACAGCTGAAAGAGCATGGTGGGGGCAAGAAACTTAGCTGGCCTAAGTCATTCAGCTGGTGTTGAAACTGATGGAGTCACAGATGGAAGGAACCTGAATCCGAATCAACACTTTAGGGATGACTGCAGACCAGGAACACCTATTTGAGACTTTACATGAATGAGAAACTCATGAGTTGCCTCTCTTCTAGAGGTTGCTCAGGTCCCCAGCCTCCTTTTTTCCTTAGCCATAAAACACTAGGTGCTGCCACAAACCACTGGCAAGCTTTGGGGATTATGCTTTATGCCCTTTCTGTTACACCACGCTGCTTCTCTAAGCCTCAGTTTCCTGGTCCATAAAATGCATCAAGAACCAAGCTGAGATGGTCTAGATCAGTGGAGCCTTAGGTGCTCTCAGGAGGTGGGATTGGGGTCAGGAGCAGAAGTGGAAGGCAGAGCCCCCTGCCTCTGACAGAACCATGGCAGGCCTCATATGAAGGAAGGTTTTCTACTGAAAGTTTGAAAACTGTTGGAAAGCTCAGTTTTTTGTTTTTTTTTCATATAACATCACTGTAGAGACTCTCTACTTTTAATAAGTACCCCAGGGTGATTGTTACCAGGAAAGTTTGAGAATCAGTAGACTATTGGAATTCTAAGAGCCCCTGCAGGCTTTAGTCTGTTTTCTCCTAAAACCAAAGACCAAAAAGCATGGGGGTGAGACTGGGAATGAATTCACCAAACTACAAGTGGATCAGAGTTTATTAAGTAGGGAGTGGTGAAGGTGCAGCACAACTAGAAGTATGCAACACTCAAACTGAACCGAACCTGAGATTCCTGAAAAAAATCTGTCGGTTACACAATTGGCCACTTCTGCCCCCACTGATACAGGGGCTTGTCAGGGGAGATGAGGGAATAATGCCAGTGGCAGGACCGGTGGTTGCTCCTGGAGCTGGGAACGATCTCCGCGGAGCTTTCAAGGGCAGGCCACCGACTCAGGGTCGAGATTTCATAGTGGATGCAGCCAGACCCATCAAGATGGCTACGACCGTGAAGCCCTGGGCGGCGATTCGGGTGCGCATCATGAGCTGGGAGCGCTGGCTCTGACCCCGGTGGAAGCAGTAGAGGCCGTAGGTGAGGGCGGCCGCTGTGCCCAGGCAGCCTGAAGAGGCGACAAAGCAGGTGGGAAGCACCCTCCCCGCTTTGGGCTCCCGCCCCCAGGGTCAAAATCTCTATAAACAGCAGCTGAGGAGAGGGGGGTATGGGGTGGAGCTGAGGTGGGAGGGGCTGGCCAAAGCGGGGGTCCTCCGTGTCAGAATCGGCCCCATCTCAGCGCCCCAATCCCGTCCAGCTCCTGCTCCAATCACCGCCCGGCCCCTTCGCTACATCTCTGGTCTACTCTCATTCCAGTCCCCCCTGGCGTCCCCGGTCCTCCCCGATTTCATTCCCCTCTACATCACTGTCTTCTTGGTCTACAGTACCTTTAGCGCCCGCTTGCTTACCTATGGGTACCATTGGGTTCTCGCGGGTCTTGCGAAGAAACTTTTCCTTGAAGCTTTCCGAAGTGCTGTATACACTGGGGCTAAAGCCCTCAATGACTGGGGGCTGCGATGGTTCAAAGGGTGCCTCCGGAGTGACGGGGCCAGGAGTCGCCATGTTTTAGGTTACAGCAGTAGAAGAAAACCCGGACGCTAAACCCCGCCTCCTGATGAGGTCATCAAAGAGGGCGGGGAAAAGGACTTTGCTCAGTGTTGTACGCAGGTGTAATCCCTCATGGCACTCTGGGAGTCGTAGTAATCAGTCTGCTGTCGCTGCGTGGAGGACTACATTTCCCCAAAGCCTGCGAAACCACGCGATCACTAGCCGGAAGGAGTCGCTACACGAGGTACTTGGAGTGAGAGGCACGGAGTCTGAGTTACCCGTGCTGGGGTCAGCGCGATGCCTAAAGCCAAGGGGAAGACTCGAAGGCAGAAGTTCGGTTATAATGTTAACCGGAAGCGTCTGAACCGGAATGCTCGACGGAAGGCAGCGCCGCGGATCGAATGGTGAGGGGACCAAAGTTCAGGAGTCAGGGGGCCTCGGGCGGGACAGCCGGCGAGATGATGGTTACGCGATCGCCCTCTCTTTTCCCGTAGCTCCCACATCCGACATGCCTGGGACCAGACCAAATCGGTGCGGCAGAACCTGGCCGATATGGGTTTGGCTATGGACCCCAACAGGGCAGTGCCCCTTCTTAAGAGAAAGGTAGTGACGTGGTAGGGTCCCGGCCCTTGCCCTCCATCTCCAGCTCCCCCCCGCCCCCCACTCCCGCCATACTTAGCTGGGTTTCAGAACTTAGTCCTGTCTATTATTACCTCCCTCACGCCCTTCCTGGGTTTGCGACTTCCCCACAGGCAACTCGGCCAGGCTGTACTGACTGTGGTTGAGGGTCCCTTCATATTCCCTCCCCCAGCACACATTGGACCTGGGTTGGAACTTCCCCTTTCCTTCTGCACTTACTTTTTTTCCTCTGAAATTAAACTGTTTGGGTCCCTTGGCATCTCAGCCATATTTTCCAGAATTTATCTTTTTCTGCCCTTAACTTTTCTAATAAGGAGTTTGGAATCTTTACTTACTGTTCCTTACACCTTTCCTCAGTTATCCAGTCGTCCTTGGTCTGAGGCTTCCGAAGGGGTAGTTTTTCCCAGGGCTGATTTCTCCGGAATAATTATTTTTCTGGACCCGCTCTCAGAAATAGCACCCCTTTTCACTCAGTAACTTCTTTCCTGCTTTATTTTAATTCATTGGCAGTTGTAAATACTTGATGGTATATTATATTTGTATATTTGCTTATTGTCTGTGACTCTTTCCACCAACATAATCTCCTGGGGACAAGGATCTGTGTTCCATTCACTACTAAATCCTGTGCTGCTTAGGATGTGACTAGTGCTCAATAAATAGTCAACCTAATGAATGGGCTTGCTGACTGGATTTGTCCCATTGCCTTCAGACATGTTTCTTTTTATCCCTTCATGCCAGAAGAAAATGGTGCTACTGTTTCTTGAACAATTATGAAGCTAATAGCCAACCACCGTCAGCTTGCTCTTCTGCATAAGAGAAGATGTCTGACATCTCTCCCTCACTGTAAAGTATAAAGTGCTTTCACGGGCATTGTTTCATTTGCTAACCGCACAGTTAAGTGAGGCAGGCAAGCGGTATTATGCCCATTTTATAGTTAGGCACAGAAAGATGAATTGCTTACTTGAGCCTCTTGGGAACCACGAAGCTTCCAGGGAGGGCATTAGTTCTTTTTGTCATCTATTCTTGCCTTTGTGGAGGGATCCTTGTGGGTAATGCAGTTGTGTTGGGACGGGCAGGAGCCTTTAGAATTTCCCCTCATCCAGGATCTTTTCCTGTGTCTCCTAATCTCACGGTCTGTGTTCTCTGCAGGTAAAGGCCCTGGAAGTGGACGTGGAGGAGGGGCCTAAGGAGCTCATGCGGAAGCCCTATGTGCTCAATGGTGGGTGTGGGCCACATTCCTCTAGGTCACCATCCTGCTCAGTTAGAGCTGGAAAGGACCCTCAGATGTTCTCATTTCACAGATGGAGAAACTGAGGTTCAGAGGGAAAAAGTGAGCTGTTCTAGGGCTCAGCTTGCAGAGTTAGGACTGTGTCCCGGCTGAGACATTTTCAGTCTACTGGCTAAGCTCCAGTGTGTGAAGGGAGATCAGAGATGTTCAGGGAGGATGTAACTAGTGCCTGAGAGGATAGAAGAGAAAACGGTAAGTCTCAGGCATACATTCAGCTTCTTATGAGATTAAGGATGAACAGATTTTTTAAAAGATTCCACCATGTAATCTTTCCAATGATAAATCCAATTTTATGTATATTAAGGCTATAGAGACTGAATATTAAAACAGAAGAGGGTAAATTCTGCAGGGAAGCAG